CAATGTGGCCACAAGTATATGCCGTCAAATGGCATATACTTGACTTATTTCCACTGCCAGAAACACAGGCACGCGAGTGAATGGAAAGCTGAAAAATCCAAAATATTTTCCGCGAGGAGGATCCGATCCACAAAGTCCCCCCTTGCCGTGCCATCCAGAACCCGTCGTGTTATCCACTGCGCCATCCGATCCGCTTGGCAGTGGTCGTGAAGGGTTCGCTGACAAAAACATCACTCTTGCGTCGATGCATGCCAAGTGTGTTACCACATGATACTTACATTTTGACTTTAATCGAATCTATTTTGAGGCCTAATTAGTGACCACCTCATAAACTATGCATGCTCGAAGTTACAAGCAGAAAGGAGCCCATTAAGGTTGTTAAAACCGCCCATTTTGTCAAATTCTTTTCACTCAGTTTGACCTACCCAGAAACGCATAGCAAAAATGAAACCCATTTTTGTGACCCTTGTATGGACCCCTACAACAAGCAACAAACCATTTCCAAAAAGCGCGCCATGACCTGAAACACCTCCCTTGTCAGTTCCCGCGTGATAGTGAGGCACTCTTCCCTTCGGTTCATTACTGGATCGCCTACCTGGATCCGAAATGTCTCGAGGGTGTTTCGCTCCGAGATTCGTGCCTCAAGACCTCAACCGCGACCCCGAAATCTCCTCTGTTGGATTCGAACTCTGGGGGTTCCCAAAGGCCGTTGACAAGCGTGTTCTGCTCTTGCCCTCCAGGTGCTCTTTCATCTTACCACAAACCGGAAGAGCTGTCTCGCCAATATATTGGTCCTCACAGCGACAGGTGATCTTGTAGTCTACCCCTAACATGGTTTAATCGCCCTATTTGCCGATCGGGCAGATCAAACAGTCGTATGCTGTACATAGGGAGTCGAACAATAGACTTCCCACCAGCCGGCGCTCAGGTTATTGTGCAGTACATTCACGATGGCTGCTATGTTATCCTCATTATCCTCATATTCTGACTCTAATCACGTGTGAACTGACCGTTTCCGCCAAATCGTTCATATAACTGTTCGAAGACTAGTGATGTTGATCGCAATACGCTTATCTTTAGTTCATTCTTATAAGCTCATTTCCAGTCTTGTTAAATCATGGATTTAGGCGTATATGTCTCTAAACGAGTGCTACAATACCGTTCTTTAATTTTTTTGGGGGGTGGGGATGGGAAGAGGG